ATCATAAGCAGCATTTCCACACTTTTTGATAGGGAGAATTGAAACAAAGCCTTTTGTGCAATCCTGATTACTTTATGTTTCGGGACCTTATCTTGTTAGGTATAGGTTAGTTCGCTCGAACGCGTTGACGGTCGATTACTGACCAATTTCGTAATCTCTTTGTATCGTGATGGCTACTATACGTGTATATTTTCAGTGCATGAACCACACGCTACATAGTCTTGAAAAAATTTCCAGCCGAACGAGACGAACGGTGAAATTCAAAGATATTCGTTACGCGCGTACGAAATGACACATGCATAAGTGAGTCACTCTCGCATAATTTCAGTCGACCGCTTTGGCTCGATGTATCAGTTTGCCACGATGACTAATCACGGATTTGCGCGCGTCCCTCGTGCTTGGATCGCACACTGAGAAGCACTGACAAATACGTACTTCTTTTCTACCAGCGAAAGAACAGAGTACGCGTGTTCTTTGTTTGAGAGCTATGAACTAGATAGAGAACATAGAATAGAAATTAATCACATGTAAAACATTACATTTACTATTGAATTTTTCTTTAAAAAAAAGGGAAAGACGCTATACATAATTATATAGAGGATGGGGCATAAAATGTGACAAATAGGTTTTTTTTTACAAAACTGACTTTCTCATTAAAAAAAAAAAAAAATAGATTGGCATTAATATTTTATCGCTTGAAAAATGTATCTGGCATCGAAAAAACGAAAATAAGTAGATTTTATTTTCCACTTTCCTCCCCCACTCTTTCTCTTTTCCTTCACACTAACTAATTAATTGTGTTCGTACAACAAAATTAACAGCGGGATGTTTTCCACTCTTCTTTTTGTTTCAGTAACCTCTGGGACCCAACATAAATATCTAATATTAATATTAAACGATACGATCGATTATTTTAATGAACAGCGAATGGAATGCGTCATGCCGCACGAGTCGCGCCGGAACTGCCGCAAGCTTGCCGCGCGACATTCGATGAAGAGCAACAACTACATCAGCAACAACACCAGCAACACAGCTATCATATTCCAGTCGTCGTTCTCTCCTCTTCGATTCGGCCGATCGACGTTCGGGGAACAGACGCACGCGCTCACGTGTGCGTAATAACTTCCGAAAAAAGCTCCTAAGCATTTACTTGGAAAATGATCGCGCAAATTGTAATCGATGAAGGGCGGTCTTTTCATTGTTTTCGTTTCATCGTAGCACCCATGTTTCGAATTTTTATGTCCGTTTGTGTATTCACGACCGAGATAATGTCAGTACTATAACGACAGGAATTCCGAAAGCTTCGATGAAGACAAAGGAAAAAAACGCTTTTTTACAATTGAATAATAAAACGAAAAATTATGAACCGCAAGTACCATGCAGTTTTACATTTATACGCACCATAACAACAGATAAGTATTTACCTCAGAAGTGATAATGACATATACAGTGAGCCGGGATGAATTAAACGAGGGCAAAAAGAAGAAATATCTTTTATTTGCGAACGATCGTATTATGTCGATTCGTTGACGGAGAGACAAAAATACACGAGACGCATGCATTAAGTATAAGAAATAATGATAATAAATAATAGTAAACTATTGCGTGTTAGGTTTACAGTCTTTTTTGTAGAGAATGAAAGGATGTTAGAGACGGTGAAAGAAAGAGAGAGAGAAAGAGAGAGAGTGCGAGCGTTAGAAAAAGTTTGATGGAATAAAAGAAGAGGTGATGATGGAGAAATGGGCGTGAAAGAGGAAGCGAATGATCGAGAGGTAACTAACGAATTAGAAAGAGAGGGAGTGAGCGTGTGAGTGAGAATAATAAGGGAAAAGGGGGAGGTAGAATGTGAATGAAAAAATTAATTTCAAGGATTGAAGAATCGCGAAGAGGGAACAAGGGAAGCGGTGTCTGGAAATGTGTAAGAGAGCGCGATAGAGGTATAACACCGATGATACGGAATAAGATGATAAAAGAGGCAAAAGCGAAGTGAAGCTACAGTCGATGAGACAGTTGACAGCAATGGTGGCGGTGAGAGGACGGTGCGGACGATGCAGGCAAAAGCGCGGTAGGGGGTGAAAAGGCGTGGATTGATTGTAATCCTGGTTGGCCTCTCCCTCCCCCATCCAGATCGATACAACCCTTTTAACTATTTACTCTCTTTAATATTGCTATGTGTAAGAAGAATAAAACAAATCGGGGGATGTGTCACTTATCGATAAGAGGAAGAAATACAGAGAAAGAGAGAGAGGGAGAGAGAGAGAGAGAGAAAGAGAAAGAGAGAGAGAGAGAGAGAGAAAGCGAGGGACAGGGGTGAGAACTGGAACGAGAAAAAGAGTCGCAAGATGTACACCAAGATAATATAAATATATAAATATGACATTTTCAAGCGCGCGTGGCATGCATACAAAACACAAACACGATTGCGAAAGTTGAAAGGTAGAACTATACACGGAACAAGAATACACATATAATTCGATTTTCTATAATTTCTATATCTTCATTTATTCATTTACATCTTAGTTTTAGTTTCTTCTTTTATATAATCAGTGTTCCCTATCTAACGCAACTGATTATAATCGACGATAGTCTCTTACGTTTGATACGTGGATCTAATAAAAAATCAAATCTATGAAAATAAAAATTTGGACTTATATAAAAACATATTTGGAAGAGCAACGTATTTCTCCTTGGCCGTGTAAACGTTTTTCATTCGACTAGCGCAGTCTTCTATAAGTTATACCAAGAAGAACACCCCCGCAGTCGTATACAGACGCGCATGTACACACACACACGCACACATACACACACATCTAATACACGATACCGCTATCATTTATTATTACTGTAATATTACTGCTACTATTATTATTATAACTGGTTGCTTGTCGATTCGGCTGGTGTCAAGCAGCAACCCAAACTACTATGTAACGATTTTTATTGATAACAAAATAAGGAATAAACATTGAAGTAATAATTGTAATAAAAAGGTAACTCCCAGGCGTCGTTGAAATATTCGCATCCGCCTCATGCTTTTAGCTTTTACTTTTTTGTTTGGAAAAGGATATATATATATACACATATATATAATATATATTTTGAGATCCTTACGTTTTATGGGGAAAAAATCGTTCTCGTTATATCGAGACCAACAATGCGACGATTATATACATACGTACTACATTTTTCGTGTCTTATCGAAACTGGATCGAACTCAACGGCCGATAAAACCACTTTCGACTTTTTGAAAAAATAATATGTACACCAGAAGATGGTCGATGTTTATGGTTCGAGAAAGGCAGAAATAGAAAGCAAAAGCGGGTGGGATAGGGGGATGAGTGAGGGTGTTGCGTGCGCGTCGAGCACGCGCGCGCTGGGACGCCTGTGCGCGTGAGAGCGAGAGAGAGAGAGAGAGAGAGAGAAAAAGAAAGAGAGGGCTACATATTTGGTTGGTTAAAATTAGGTATATAACTTTGTAAAGCCGATATACTTGCTCTTAAGATTTTTTTGCAAATGTCGACAAGAAGAATCTTCAGAATCGTGACACACGAATAATGTTTAAGGAAACAATAAATTTGTATAAAGCGGTGTAATGAAACACCTTTTGTTTTCATTCATTCGAATAACGTTCAAAATAGAGAAATTATCGTAGAATTCTATGCCTCACGACTGCATATCTCGCGGTGATAAAATAAACGATAAAAACCACGTCCTTCCGCGACCATGAATAAGATTAAATCACGCGTATGTAACTTCCGGTTCTCGGTTTCTGGACGCGTTTATTCTCGTTTCAAAATGATATTATTTAACATACATTATTGGGAAATTACACTTACCTGTACGTGGAATAGAGATTTCTCATGTAGTGCATATATACAGCGTGTTTCATCGTTTCCCAATGTTTTAAAGGAGTTGGGTGAAGAGCTAAAGTGAAAGGGAAGAGGTTCCTGTAAATCAAGCGTGAAAAACAAATCGTTTATTCGAATAAACGGCATCAAAGCCACCAAGCATACAAGGGAGTAAATGTTATTTTTACTTTCGAAATATGGTACTCGATAGTACTAAAATTTTGTTTATTTTTTTGTTTAATAAAATTAATTTCCTGCAAATACGTAGATCTTCGATCGCATTTTGTTGATTTTATCAAAAAAAAAAAAAAAAAACAAAACAAAAGGAAAGGAAGGGCGAAACAAATGGCTGTGTACCGAAGAAGATATCTATTTTGGTGTTCTAACTCGTGAAGCCTTTGATGTTGTTTATCTTACTAAACGTTCTTATTTCAAAAAAATCGGAGAATGGGATAACCTGCATATCATCGTATACGTGTACATGCATATGTGTGTGTGTATATATATATATATATATAATATCGGTTCATTTTAATTTATAAACCGTTATTTAATTTATTGGTAGATTAGAAGATTAAATAAAACTTTTTACAAAATTATCAAGAAAATTTACATAAAAATCGCTCTCGCTTACTCGCATTGATTTTGTTTCATCTTAAAAAACATTACTTCTAATTACAGCGACCAGGATCGCCACACTTTTATATTTTCTATCAATCAACGCTTTATAGCCTACTATTTTTAGATCGTTCTCGCGAAATTTATTCGATTCGCATCTCAGAGTAAATAATTGGATGATTCTCCAAATCTCTTTCTGTCATAAATAACGACTAGAAAGATCAGAATGAGAGGCGCAAGCCTTTTGCGGTGGAGAGAACAATTATATAGATATATCTATATATATATATATATCAATATATATATAATATATATATATATATATAAGATACAAACGAACGGATGGTCTCGGATAAATGTTACGTATATACGGAATTCGAAGGAAAGACTTGGATCGTAATTCACGAAATATGGTCGATATTAGTACCGAGGCGTCGAGCGCTTGATTTCGTCGAATGACTTTCCTAATCGTGCATTCGTAATCTTGCGTTCGTGCATTTGCGCTACTCATTTATTGCCATATCGTCTTTTTTATTCTTTTCTTTCTTTTTTAGTACCTTTAATCCTTGTTCTTCCAACGATGAAACGATAAAGCTATCGAATTTGTACTAAAATGTTCTCCTCGTTTGCGTTAGTCCTTTCACAGACTTTGTCCATCTACTCTGTGTAATCTACAAATCGTTAAAACTACGCGAAGCATACACATTTTATTTACCCGAGTTTGTTTCCGCTTTTGACCCGTTTCTTTTCCAACTTGTACACGCTCGTTTTCATTCAGGGAGACAAAGACTAGAAGAAACGATGCGCCCAACGAACCGGTCTTAACATCGTGGCTAGTTAAACAACAGTGGATTTGATAATGGCGTACACGAATATCGTATCGTATCGTATTACATGCCCGGCAACTTCCGTAACTTGGCTTTAGTGTGCACAGTGTGCGTCTCTTATTCTATCGGTGATGTATTGGAATTTCTCGAATACAATCATGTTCAGAACACATGTGAAAAAGGTTAATACGGGTGACAACGTTTCGATACTTAACTTTCGAAATGTCTCACCTGTTACCGGGATTAAAATGTTCAAAATCTGTGTTACACGAGTATCGCGCACATTTTTCCTTCGTATTTAACGCATATTTAACACGGGAAACACGAATGAGTCCCTCGACTCGTCTCGACTCGTTTCGAAACATTCGAAATTTTTTTCCGAAGAAATCCATCTTTCCCCTCGTTCTTCGTTCTATCTGTTCTTGGCTATTTGTCAAGAAAGTTTAGGCATTTCGGTGCTTCTCTCCTTTCCAAATGGGGTCTCCACGGCTAGCGGTGATTATTTCACGATACTACCCGTTCGAGGGAAACAACGGTTGTTTTGTTGAAATCGCAGATAAGAGGGAGAGAAAGGGAGAGAACAGGGGCAGGGGCAGAAGCAAACAAGAAGAAGAAGAAGACGAAAAAGAAGAAAATGATGGAAGATGACGAAGAGAACAGAAGACACCGTTGAAAAAAGTGATTGAACACGTACACGCGTGTGCGTAAAATGAGATATAGCATACCGCGCAACGCTGGGACGAAGATTGCTTTACAAACGTTCGTTTAAATGGCATTAAGTTTAAGTAGCATTAACCTTTATTAGATTACCTTTTAAGTTATCTTATTAGATAGGTGTGCATGCATGTCAACGAATGTGCGACAAAGCGGCCAGCGTGCCCTAGGGTTTTTGTAACTGTAGTACTTAGTAACAGTAGCAACGGTAACAGCAATAGCAGCAACAGCAGCGGTAGCAACAACTAGCACGCGGCCGATGCGTATCTCGAATGCCCATCGTTCTCACAGTCCTAGCTCGATCTTTTCACGGCGAAAAGATCGCGGAACAGTTGCTCTCTTCTTGCGTTCCTTTGTCACGTATCCTTATGATTCGCGATCGTTATTTACAAGTGCCACTATACATAGAGTGTGTAATAAAACCGCGTTAAAATAAATAAATATATCACGCAGGGAGAAAAAAGCGGTATCATAACCTATGTTGCGGCCGAGCGACGATTGCCACATTTCTTTCTTTCTTTCGTTTTCTTCTGTCTTATTTCTTCTTTCCTCTTCCTTGAAATTCCAGCGTCCTTTTAAGTCACGTGCTCGTGTTATCGCCCTCGTAATCGTTCCAACGATTTCCCGCTGTATTCGATATATCGAACAAGCCGCGAACGATACGATTATTTAAAATACGTTTTAAATAACCTACAAAGTGAAATGACGTGCAAACATGTTTCCACGATGAACACGATTCATAGGGAAATTCTGTTTCCGCGTATTTCGAAGGACGACGACGACAACGATCACGACCACGAACACGATGGAGAGATTCACGTTGTTGCGTTTGGTTGGCGCTTGAAACGAGGAAAGGAAAAGGAATTAGGAAATGAAAGAGAAAGGGAAACGATTGTTCGTTCGATTGATCGACTAAAATTTGCACTTAGGGGTTCGTACAAAATTGTATAAAGAATCGAAGTAAAATGAAATTCGAACAAATACCAAGAAATGTGATTTTCTATAGGTTTGTATGCGTTGGCCGAGTTGGCGATATATTGCGAAGGCAATCTTTGGCATTCAAGCAATTTTCCGATTGGAATCGACTTTGTCGATAATTCGAGAGGAGAATGTCGTCTGCTACATCCTATATCGAATTTTCCAATTCTCTACTAGATGTAATTTTCGCGAGAGTTATCGTTATTATCGTGACCATTTTGTTACATTACTGGCTATATAATCTTAATTCGCCTTCTATATATCATACAAATAGAGGATTATCGATAATAGTAATTGAGTAAGTAAGCAAGTAAGTAAGTAATTCAACCGCTAGTTCTAGATAACACTGATTACCGTTTCGTAACGATAACGCATTTATCGTCTTTTGCGTTTCACTTGCGTGTTTCAACGTTCTCTGCATAAGCATTATCATTTTGGTGATAGCGTTTCAGGATTAACAATGGTAATAACAATGATCGTAACAACAACCCTACGATAATAATTCAAATAAATAGCAATAATAATATTAATATTACAATAGTAAGTCCTTTTAGGTTCAGGAACTCGATAGGCCCAGATATGCAATCCCTGCGTGCCGTGAAAGGCGACTAAAAGGGAAAAATTATGATAATAAAGGAGGAAAAGATATAAATAAAACACAGTGGCAACAATTGTGGCGACGAAAGTGGTTATTGGTACTAATTATGTGTATTAAGTTGGAGCGTATGAAGTGTTTCCTCAAATTCAAATTTGGCGCTCTAATACCATCCATTCAATTTTGATCTATCGTCAATTATCAAACATATTATAAAATTTACCATAAATCATGTAAGTTTAACGTAATTTTTCATGTAAGGAAATTTATAATAAATATACCAAAATTTTATTATTATTTCTAGATAGCCAGAAAGTTCGTGTAATTTTTTATGGGCCTAAATTTTGAAAAAAAGTGGCACGAAAGTTGCTGAAAACCAACATTTAGTATTTGATAAAGTTAAACACAACTTTTATCCCATCTTGCAATCTTCCAATGCGTAAATTACCGAAAAAGAAGCTATAACCGAAGAAATTGATCTGAATTTTCCAGCCGATAATTCTTATAAACCTGGAATAATGACGTTAATTGATCATTAAAACAGAGCATTGAATCGTATAAAATATATCGATCGAAATCTTATTTGGCGGGACAGCATATTTCATACGTACCAACTTAACAACAGAAATGAGAAATAAATAACGACGAGGATGACAACAATGGTGGTGATGACGATGACGATGATGATGATGATGATACAGGTAATGAATTGCCGTAATAAAAATAGTTATTTATATGGTAACGTTGAAACTAGAGGGAACGTTTCGTTGGTATAATTACAAATTGCTCGAATAACAATAAATACGTATAGTAAATACAATGTGATTGCTTTTTACATGGTCATGATTCCGCACGTATTCGTCCCTCCGTGCGTTTTTCTACGCTTTCTTCTTTCTCTCTATTGCCTCTGCCATAATACGCGAGTAATAAACGCCGTCTAAAGTACACGTATGTAGATAACCGAGTACTCGAATACTTGATAACTTATAGTTTATTTGCTCTCTATAAACGTGCTGGCGTGTCGGATACACACAAGAAAGATGATGGGACAGAAACGCCTATGGTGTTCTGATGCACGCAATAGGTCGCAACTCGTCGACCGATCGTCGATAAATCGCAATGATCGTCGATTATCGATCGAGTCCGTCAATCAGAAAGCCGACTACCGTGTACTTTTTGGCATTTACTAATCAAGCAGTTGCCCATTCCAATCGACTCTGATCTAACCTTCCACCCCCGATGACATTAATAATAAGTCGTAGGACTTAATCGGTGCTGTTACCTCTGTAAAGTAAAAGTTTCGTTTAATCGAAATCCATCTAACAATTAGGTTAAGCCGTACAAAGCTTGCGATTTACCTCTCGAATGGAAAAACTATCGAACGTTTAACTGCTCGTGACGCGAAACTCAGCGCGTATACAAGTCTTGCGAGCAAATTCGAACCATCTTACCATTGAAAAATCTTGCTATATAGTGGTGTCGTGTCGGTTTTCTTCTTCTATGCGTTTCAGGAAATAGAAATAAATAGAGTAAACGAACGAGTCAACGGATCAACTGCTGCCGCTGTGTCGTTGCTCGAATTCTGTTTTATATCGCGTACTTCATGTTGTTTACACGACTTAAGTTCGATATAGATTCGATTTAGCAAAAGTCGATTTATGACTTGCTCGAATGATTCGAACAACGCCAGCTGGTGACGAAATCGACACGATTCGCGCAGCACTTTGCCTCGTTGCTTCTATTCCGCTTCGCGCTTTCGAGCAACGCGCTCGCACGAGCAAACGAGCTGTGCGAGAGGAACGAAACGATTTAGTATGGTAACGAAAACGTAACGTAGCGTAATCTCATTTGCAGGTTATCTTGTAATTGATGGTACAACCTCGACCTCGAGACAAGCAAGACCAACAAGCAAGTGACGATTCTATGCGACAAAATAAGTTGAAAACGTAGAGCACGCTTCTTTTGTCTTTTCACAAGCTCTATTTATTCGATCTTTGGAGAATTTGAGTTTAATTAATTAATATATATTTATTACGCATGCGGCCTTAATTCTAACATACATTTTGGCCAATCCTCCATCCAATTAATTTCTTCTTGCTCGATTCTATCAAACTAAAGATTGTCTTGGAACAGTTTAAAAGCGTTTCTTTGCTGTAGAAAATTAAAGACAGACGCATTAAAAATACGAGCAACTCTGCAAGGTTGTCTATGTTTCGACTTGAAGGATCTCGCTGCATACTAATACTCCTACTTGGATTTATATTTATCGCATTGCGTCAAGCAGAATAGACAAACAAGGCTTTAAATCAAAATATATTATTCTACATTTTCGGCTTATTTTTCGTATAGAACCCGCCCTTTGCTGCTCGTGGCATAATTTACGAAACAGCCTAACTACCGCATACGGCCGGATGTAACGAGAAACGGAAGGAATGGAAAGAAAATCTTTTAGCCGAATAGTCGGAGAGTGTTGAAGAAAAAAGAAACAAGGAGGGACAGAGAAACGTAATTAATACGCAAAAAGATTTTACCCACGGGCTGACGCAGCTTGTTGGACTCGGAGACCACCGATCGGGCGGAATAAAAGCTCGATGAAATGGACGAAGGAACGCGAACCTTGTCGCTGCATCTACCACGAAGCAGCACCGAGGTTACTGGACGATGCAACAGCAAGCACTGTGTGTCAAAGCGCTCGTAGCGACGTGGTGCCGATAATGGTGCTGTTGCCGTGGCGCCTGTCTCTGTCGTTGCTGGCCCGTCACCCTACCGCCTAACCTGGGCTATTGGTTCTCCAGCGAATAATGACGCGACCTCTTCCAGAAACCTTTGAAGAATCCTTTCTTCTTCGGCGCGTCCCCGCATTCGGCAGCTGAAGCAAAAATATGACGCGGCTCTTTCCCTCCTAATATATCTGTAGGCTTACTGTCCACCAAGCGTCTCTTCATAGAAGCGTAATCGTAGTCTATTATAAAGCCAAGTCCACACTGACAGACGATTGTCCGAAGACACGCTGTGCGCCTGCGGCAACTGTCTTCCGTTCTTAGACAGAAGATCCGCAGACGATTCACATTTGTCGGCAGATATGCATCTTCTTTTTCCATTGGAACGTTCGCGGGCAATTGTGGGCAGAATGAGCTTTTCACCTCTTTTGGCAGGCAACGATCCCGCTGTGCGATCGTCACACGATACATTTGCTACTTTACGTCGAGCCAAGACTAGAAAAATTTACCGAATGTCCAGCTGGATAAATTGTAAAGCACAAATTAAATAATAGTGGCGCCTGTCTCTGTCGTTGCTGGCCCGTCACCCTACCGCCTAACCTGGGCTATTGGTTCTCCAGCGAATAATGACGCGACCTCTTCCAGAAACCTTTGAAGAATCCTTTCTTCTTCGGCGCGTCCCCGCATTCGGCAGCTGAAGCAAAAATATGACGCGGCTCTTTCCCTCCTAATATATCTGTAGGCTTACTGTCCACCAAGCGTCTCTTCATAGAAGCGTAATCGTAGTCTATTATAAAGCCAAGTCCACACTGACAGACGATTGTCCGAAGACACGCTGTGCGCCTGCGGCAACTGTCTTCCGTTCTTAGACAGAAGATCCGCAGACGATTCACATTTGTCGGCAGATATGCATCTTCTTTTTCCATTGGAACGTTCGCGGGCAATTGTGGGCAGAATGAGCTTTTCACCTCTTTTGGCAGGCAACGATCCCGCTGTGCGATCGTCACACGATACATTTGCTACTTTACGTCGAGCCAAGACTAGAAAAATTTACCGAATGTCCAGCTGGATAAATTGTAAAGTACAAATTAAATAATAAAAAAAAAAAAAAGAAAAACGTCGAGCCAAGAAAGTAAAATCGAAATCACTGCAAGTCACGTACCGCCGTATCGTGGATGTGTCGTAACGAAGAAAGGTCATCTCCCATTTTTCCTAATCGTGTTATACATTTTTTAATACGCTAACAAATACGTCAATCAATATGTCATGACACTTTCAAAATTTACTCCTCGCCGTATTAATTAATTATTTATATTTACACGATATCTAATTCTACAAGTGGACATTCTACAAAGTAGGTGTTTATTATTGACTTATTAATGACTATTAATAGTCAGCATTTAAGAAGATTAAGGTAGTCTTTTCTTTGTATTTTAGGGTCGACGATGGTCACATTTCTCCAAAGATACATTTCAATAACCCGCTTGCTCCATCGCATCTTCGACTCATCGACGCCCGCTGGACAAACGACGTTGCCCTCAAACAGCGTAAAATGTCTAGATACATGTTTCGTCGACTGTCGGCGGACGATGAACGCAGACAATACCTGTCAGTGTAGACGAATGCAGACGTGACGACGATACGTCTACGCCGGCGTTAGTAGTCTGCCAAATGTACAGCGAGATACGTTTTGTCCCGTCGTTAAAATATCGAGCAACGAGAAAAACGCTCTCGTCCTATACCGCTACGCTAGTTTATAACGGCTGGAGAACGCGCGCCTCGATTTCGACGATATTAACGTCAATCGTCATAATGAAAACGCGTAACAACGAAAACGGTTCGCTGCTGTTTCGTGACTAGGTGCGCGTTACTTTGCAACGATCGTTGCATGAAAGCGTATTTACCGCGAGTAATCTATGAAACGACGTTTCGTGGACAGCGAGCCAAACTCTTTCTTTCTTACATGCTACTTCCACACCCATCCAAATCATCCGCATTTCTTTACCGATAAAAATTGCTCGCTTTGTAATTGAATTTTCTGTCGTCACGTGTTATATAGTTATAGTATGTATACTTGATTATCCGATTGGATTATTAAAATCCGAGTGTAGAAGCAAAGCTGGTACTGGAGCGACGCACCAACTGCGTCGTGTATTTCAGCCACGTTTTTACTCTCGCTATATGTTAATAGGGGAAGCGTTGGCAATTGTCTGTCGCCTGCATAATAATCGACGGCCTTTCCGGCCTTTCCTTCGAATCGACGGACGTTAAAAACCAGCTACGACCGTCGCCACGGCGGATACTCTTCCTCCATCTCTCGATGTGCTCCAACTCGCTCGAGAATATATCATATTCGGAAAATACAAACTCCATTGTATCCGTACGAAACGATTCTATCCTTCTGTTATATCTCTCTGTAATGATTAAAGTTCTCCTGGTTACCATCATATCGGTCCAAGTTCTCAACTCTTGTCCCGGTATCCTGGTCTGGTTCACGAATACAGTTAGCCGCGTTAATATCCATACATGCCACTGTCTCTGTATTCGTTGTTGATAAGAAATCGCGAGAAGAAGGCCATATCTCTGCGATGCCAGGAGCCGGAGAAAAGGGATAAAGCGAGCGAGAACGAGAGAACGGTGCGTATGGATCAATACCGATAGTGTGCAGCTACGTAGCGCACGTAGTACACGCAAATTGTTGGGTGTGTCTGATCTCTGTTACTTGACTAGCCAAACTATCCGAACTTGACAACGATGTTGCTTGTTACTGGCGAGAAATCGTGTCGTGGCAATGAACATACTTCTCCGAGGTCTTTGTTTAGAGTGTTAAGATTAGACGAAACGACCATAGAACATAGAGAGAGCAGGAGCAGCACTCGCCTACACTCGTTTAGCGTAAACGTTGGTCGAGCAATTTGTTCGTTGATGGTTTTACAACGATCAGACGAATATTCTTCCGGTGTTTCTAGAGTCCAGCAATCGTCAAAGAATCGATAGAATTTACATGTCTCGTTTACGCTTGAATTTTATTCAGCTCGCTGTAGACCTGCACCTTTACAGGCAAATCGAAGGAAACGTTGTTTGGCTTGTGCATAAAGTTCTTCTCTATCCTTCGTTCTGTTTCTCTTGGTAAGAAGAGCTTTTTCAAAAATAACCAAAGAATATTAATAGAACTGCTGTTGGCTGTTCGAGCTAGAGGCGAACATTGGTAAACTGCTGGTGGAAAGGGAATGGATATTTTGGAATGCCATGTGTGTACCGGTCATGTTACGTGTGCAAAGATGTATGCGTGTGCACACACACACAGCCATGTTCCCCCTCTACCAGCGATAAAATAAAAAACTTACAAACAAGTACTTACAAGGATAAGTATCCGTGTGGCATAGAACATGACCGAATCGTATCGTATGGTACAGGAAGGGCACCAAACTTGGATCAACAATTCGTCTTCTTAATTATACGCAAAGAAAAACTATTGAAATTCGAACAATTACACAGATCGGAAAAGTACGAGTCAAATTATTAATCTCACTATTGCACAATAATATTCCAGCATAACAGCGTTTTTATCACGATGATTTAATAGTGATTTTATTATTTTATCGCCTCGTTTTCAATTAGTTATTCCGCTCATTGTTAGTCTCTCCCTCTCTCTCTCTCTTTTTCTTCGTTTCTTCGATCGACTTTGCTGCACTTTTTGAACTGTATTTACATACATACTTTACATATTTTATGACGATGAACTTTATTCGGTTCATTATCGTATTTTATTGTTGGACCAGCGGCTTGGATATTCTTTAATACGAAACATAATTTACCGCGCTATTCGTGCATCGCCTGTTTAAAAAGTAACGAAACTCTATTTATAAAAGGTTTTTTAGATTACAGCTTTAAGCCTTCCATGCAGATCCCTCGGGAAGCGATACACCGAGAGAAGGGGACTTTTTTTCATTACTTAAGTCAGCTCTACGGACGTTCATCCTAGAGAACTTTCACTGGATTTGGATTAGTCGTAGCTTTCCCAACATTTCCAGCTGTACGAGAACTTTGAATTATTTGTTTGATTTTGAGGAACAGAGAAAAGTCACGCAAACCAGATAACGTTCCTTCTAATTCATTCGAATACTCAGAAGGCGCGAAAATAGCTTGTGAAAATGGAATACTCGTGGCAAGAACAACGAATAAATTATTACATGATACGCATGTCCTACTGGACAAGTTGTAAAATTTAAATAAATAAATAAATAAATAAAAAACATGTTACGAGTATAGTACTCGAACCGTACGAAGTGAACTTTCAATTATTGGACTTGAACTCATCATTAAAAAAAAATCTTCGCAACTTGACAATTTTAGCTGTCCGAGCTTCGGATTCCAGTTACCGATATGTATTATTTCAATCGTAAAAGTATGGCAAAGGCAGACGGAGGATATAAAACGCGAACTTACCTGCGTATGGGCCACACGGTGATGCATTGTCCTTTCCACTTTTGCCATCCTTGCTGCCACTTCCTGAAACAGCCGAAAACCAGTTCTGGTCTAAGAAAATGGAAAACGTTGTTTTCTTTCGAATTATACGGCTGAACGCAATGGGAAACCACAGATCACTACGAAAAAGCTAGCGAAAAATAAATGCAGTTAAAAAGTGTAACGTGGAAGAGGAGAAACGCGCGTACGAAGGACACAAGCGAGTACCAGATCACTCGTATAGCAACGTTTGCAGATAATCTTCAAGTACAGCGCGTGTTCCCCTTGAAAATTCACCAAATAAAATCGAACGGCTGCCGCATGCCAGGTAAGAACACGACACAGCGAGGACACGCTCTGATCCTAACGAGCAACATTTTTAGTTAAAGCCGCTTTCGAGCAGATTACACGTAGAATCTATCGATTCGTAAAGTAACGTGCAAATGGTTACGCAGCTTCGCACAACTTCTTCTTAATTCTCTAAGATCGTCTTAGCGTTAAACCAAGCCATACCAGAGTCCTTTGCTCCCTTTCCATCCAGAGTTTATTCGGCCACCAGTAATAACACCACCAGTATATACGTTCGCCACTCTATTTCTGGCAGGATAATAATAACCTCTCCATATCTTGTTTCAGCGGCTAGCTTTGGATGACAGGACGCGAGATCTTTGCCAACAGCTTTAACTTTGTAAACGACGCGACGATTGGAAATAAAATTGTTGGAGAGTCTGGCCGATCTGTGTCTTCGGTTTCTAGCGAAGGCGCCGTTTCGATTCAACGCTGCTGTCCTATTTGCTTCGTATCGTGGAATAACGTCACGGAAATTTCATCTTCACCGTGTAACTGTTGTAAATATTATCGTAAATTTTCTAGATATTGTACGAATTCTATTGTACGTTTTAACTAAAGGAAATCACCTAAACATCTGACTTATAGGCGTATACGTACGAAAAATCTTCTCAAGACAGAGTTCAACCGCTTCGAGGGACGCATATAACGAACGGATTTTTCCTCAAGGTCGTCTCTTCTCGAAATTTCCAGACATTTTTCAAGTATCTGTGCGTGAAAATGCCTGGTTGAAATTTTTATATTTTAACCCTAATTTTGTAACACTTTCGGGTCGTGTGAAAAACAAAGACGCTCTTACGTTTCCGTTTTCCCTTCTTGTCTCTGTTCTCCTCCTTTCGTACACTACATTTCAATTAAAATCGAATTATTCGAAGATGGTATCTCACTGGGGGTAGCCATCCACGTGTTATTTGCCAATTAAGTTAGAAAAATTTACCAAATGTCCAGCTGGACAAATTGTAAAGTACAAATTAAATAATAATAAAAAAGAAAATTAAAATCGAAATATCTTTTAAACTCTTCATTTCATAAATACAGATAAATACTTTGATACTTTTGCACGGAGAATAGAAAATTACGTTCATAGTGTGAAAACGATATATAGAGTTCTATTTAGGAAATACCGATGACCTTGAAATCTCCTTTCTCAAAGAGAAGAAAAGGGGAAAAAACGAAGCTGAGAGAAGATTCTTTCCACCGTTACACGAGTCCCTTCGTATGATTTAACTTCGCCTTGAGAAGCTTTTTCGTACGATCGTAGATAACGCAGGTATTCGTTTAGCCGAGACACCGGGTATATTAGATTATAGATTTTACAAACACGCCTACAAACATGTAATTCGATCTCTCCGTACAATATTTCCACTTTCCCATTTCCACGAATTTCTTTCTCTGATTAATAGTTCGTTATTACGATCATCCCACTAGATGACTTTAAAGAAAGTTGTACCAATAGCTGTTTAGGAATGACAAAGAGTAACAGAGAGACGACGAACAAACGAGCAAAAGAGTAAAAGAGGAAAAGAGCGCGAGAAACGAATGAGTTACCTTCGATCGAGGTCATGGTCGTGTCTAGGGTTCTTATTCAATGCCATGGTTAAGAGTCGTTACTATTATCTAGCACGTGACAATCTAGACGATAACGCGCAACTTATGGCTTAACCATGAAAATAAAGAAACCTGATCTATCGAAACGAAACAAAGAGCGTGGAGTCGGTCGATCGTGCCGATACGGTATTTTTAGTCGTTCCTCGAAGATGCAGACACTAGTTGCAATTTTATGTTCGTTGCGAGCCAAAGATAGCGAGAGTGAATGGGTTTGGCATTCGTGCTACAAGTGATTTTGTTCGCGATATTTATCTATTGATAATTTTCTGAACGACCGAAACGAGCTTCTCTCTCGCTTTTCATTCTCTATCTTTCGTCTACCGTTACTTTCCTTGTCCAACAGATCTCACAAAGAACATAACCTAACAAACAAACACTCACCTCACTAAAGAAATAAATCAATTAAATTCGAAGATGGTATCTCACAGGGGGTAGCCATCCGCATGTTACTTACCGATTAAGTTAGAAAAATTTACCAAATGTCCAGCTGGACAAATTGTAAAGTACAAATTAAATAATAAAAAAAAAACTGTCCTTGCGATTGCACTGCGGATTTCTCTGTGCTTATGCAAAATTTACAGGATACACTGATGCACGGAATACATGTAACGTACAGAATGCAAAAAATATACAAAATATTGAAGTATGTGAATGTTTGAGAAGTTTAAATGTACAAAAGTATACAGAATACATACAGTACACAAATATATATATATATTTAAAGTATAAAAGACACGAAATATATAAAATATCAAAGTATACGAATTTATAGGAAGTTTAAACGTAGTAAAATATAGAGAATGCACGTGACAGTACACCTTTTAATATTTAATAGATGAAACACATTTCATAAACATGATTTTGAATAAATATTTGCAGTCTACTCATCGCGTTAACACAGAACATACATAAATAACATAGCATATAAAAATTTTTTCGGTAGTTTTATAGCTGTGAGACGTAACGTAGGCGTGTATATTTTTCTATTTAGGAATAAAAGGAAAGAAGTTGGTATTTACGTTTAAAAAAAATGTCTTCAAGTAAATCTCCAGCCCCGGAGATAAGACGAAGGGAAGCAAGATTAAGTTTGTTCAAGGACAAGCGGAATCTCTCTTGGCAACATACTGAAACCAGCTGACATTCTAAATGTCCAAACGTTCACGACTCACAGTCTGGCGCAGTTTGCTCTGACCCATCCTTTTATGTCCCCCCCGCGCCACGCACACAGACGTACGCACGTGGGTACACTCCCTCTTTCTCTGCACACGTTCTCTCAAGTGATAACGACGAAAATTCTTCATTACCAAAACAGTTTCCTTCGACCTGTGTCAATGTTGAGAGTGAATTTTGAGACGGGTTATCAGCCGCTTCGGAGAATAACGAATGATACGGATAAGTAACGAACGATTTTTCAAATGCTTTTTTCTCAATTTGTCAACAGTGGTTGGAAATATGTACGTTGATTATTGAGAAACGAGAGAGAAAAAAAAAAGAGAAAGAAAAGAAAAACAGCGGATTTATCATGTAACTGATTGTGAGAGGATACAGTGACAGGTAGAGAGCTGAGAGCGAGCAAGCGAAATGCTATACCGGTTTTTGGTTGCTATCGTGCGACGCGACGTAGAATTTAATTTTATAGAGTAAGGTGTTTTGAGTTAATTTGAGTTAATTGCCGTATCTACGCAGCAGTTATTAACTGGCTCATTCTTCGCCTAGAAGCTTATATAATTAGGAAACTAAGAATTAATATAGCAAATTATTAATCCCAATTACATTTAGTCCTTGTAAATTTAAATACGAAATAATTTTTTAACGAAATATTTCACAGAAATAAAAGGACACGCAAAGGGGTAAATCATTAAATAAAAATATATAGATAGAATGTTTAAATAAATGCATGGCAATGTTGAACCTCAGATATACAAAACATTTTAACTCGTAGCTGGAACGCTCTCTTCTATTTGCATCATTCACCGAGTATAGAAACTTTCGTCAGATGTTTCTGACCGCCCGGTAGATCGATCTCGAGGCATTGGCAAATGCCACATGTATCATCAGCGAGTCCCTGCATGCTGGCAGAGTGCAATGACGTAGGTATAATTAGAAATATCGATGATAACAGTTATAGCACAGTTTCCATGAAAAACGTGCAGTCATCGAGCTGGTGGCCCAGAGAGAGAGAGAGAGAGAGAGAGAGACTCATCGATTAAAGTATTTTTCGTAACTTTGAAATAGCAAAAGATGAAGAACAAAAGGGAGGAATCAAAGAAGGGAGGTAAATGAAGGGAAAATATCGCGTAAAATAAAGGGGAAAGGAAAGAGGAGAGGGTGAAAAAAAAAGTGATAGTCCGGCAATTTCTATTGGGTGGAAAGTCTCACTGAGAACGCAGCTCGACGACCATGATACAAATTCCCGCTTTGGTAGGGATGGCATTTGGTCGACTACGGAGGGTTGCTAGACAGACCAACAGCAGACGGGAGTAACGATTGCCACCACCCCTGGTTCGAGTCGAGCTAGTCACCCCTTCCGTGTCCTTCCGGCTTCCCACGCGTCCCTGCTCTGAACCCAACCCGTCCAGCGAGCCGGCCGCTTACTAACCAAACTGAAAACATCCCCTCGTTGGTCAATCGCCTTTGCTACCCCATGCTGTTTTTCTCCCAATCATTTTTTTCAACGGTTACACGCTACGTCGTTCTGTTCGACCGATACTCAGCTTCTATATGGAGCGAAAAGACGAAGACTGGAAAGACGCCTGACTGAGGATCTACCGGAAAGTTAAGCGACGCCAAGCTATGCTATGTTTGCTATATTTGTTTCAGTGCATATTATGTACACCGAGCCGTTTTCACCGAAAGCTAAGCTTGTACTACGTTTTAGCTTCTGGTCGACTCGCTTCGGTATATGCGTATGCGTATACGTATGGAAGGAAATATTTTGAAACTTACGATTAGCACGGTACAACGTAGCCTAGCTCAATTTCCCGACGGATCCCACGCTTTAAAGAGGGAAAGCTGAATAAAGGATAAGCGTTATCTGGTTCGCATGCGCGGAAGCTCTTTTTCAGAGCATCGATACCGCGACGTTCTATAAATAAATAACCGGCGGTGATAAGACTGAAGGCACAGGGTTGCGCACATCCATGTTATTTTCGCTTTCTCTCGTTGTGTTCAGTGTTGGCTCGATCCGATGTATACGAAAATAGAAGAAACGCTGTATATGTATAAATTCAGATAAATTCTGAATGATGCTGTCGTCAGCAGGATGACGTAGAATACTCTTTGATTCTATTTAGCGTAAAAAAAGACAGATTAAGACACGGGTCGTTGACTCGAGTTGGTAATGTTGGATGCGTAACATTCGAAGAAAGAGAAAATGCAGTTCGGTCGACGCTATCTCCGCATGGATGAGTATTGATCCGTGACGCGCCCGTTTTCTCTATCGGCAAAACCAAATTCATGCTGCTTACAGCGAATTTACTCGTACATAATTTAGACGTATCCATCGTAAGACCGACTATACAGCATCGACTCATACATTCGTTCGTGTAAAACGTGTATGGTCGCTGATAAAGTGTCTCCTCTATAGAACCTCGTACGAACGTGGAGGCAATGAAATCGGAAACAGCATTGGAAGATGAAACGTCGCGCGCCGCGAGAAACAAGTGAACATTTTCTTCTATATGCGTAGTTGAATCAATAACGTGAACGACTGGTGGAAGGACGTGGGATGTATTGTTCGTACTAGGAGATATTTCGACGTGGAAATCGCGAGCTCCAGCAACGTCGCTAGTTTTCTAGTGAATCTTTAGCATTTACCATTCTTATTATACCGGTTCTTCGACTGCCCTAACCGGCCGGCGCAACGTTGCGCTATTCGAAAAGAGAAGAGCACACACCTTATCCACGTTACAAGACTCGAGAACAGGTCGACGACTGTGTATAGTCTAACCTGGACCGATATGATCGATTCTCGAGTCTCTTTACAATTCGAAACTGTATGACGATATAAGATAATGAGAAAGATTGATAAGTATTGAAATAGAGGGAGTGGAATGACATAAATGTGTTTTGATGATAAAATGAAAATTGAGTGGCCTCGTGGAAATGTACAAGCTAGCCTTGCAGCGTGTAACGCGGAGGAGGGAGGCCTTGTTCCTCTATCCTTCTTGTCTTGTACATTCATATTTTCAAGGTCAGTTGATTCGTCCCACCTAGTTGCGGAGCTTTCGCCAGATGGAACCACTGTACAATCACGACGCGACGAAATACACGTGGCTTACCGGAAACTAAGCTCCCCATTGGGAAAGATATGACAGCGATCGAAAAAAGAAAAAGATAGGGAAAAGATCGTTTTAATAATTGCGAGCAAAATTTGGAATCAATCAGTCAAACTGAACTAGAGAGGTCGTTTTTAATCGTTTAAGAAAAATGCAGTTTCAAGAAAAACGAACATCCTTTTAAAACTTGTACGCTTTTAAATTCGCGTCCTATATATTGTATAACATCTTCAAATTCCTATAACTTCGTTCATTTTACAATTTCGAAAAAGTCCTGTCATAAACTTATGCTTTCAGAAAACCTATACTTTTTAGAAAATGAGAAAAAGAAATCGATTGTTTACAAGTTCTAGGTTAGAATACCCCCAGGAGAGTTTTATTTATGTGGCAGGAGTACACATATAGCTGTAGCGCTACACAAACCTGTCAAAGCATCTTCCAAGTAATATAGAAAAAATTAGATTAAACTAGTAAAGTGTACTAAAGTAATAATTCGATCATCTGCAGCGTGTTAATGGCAGTATAAAAATGCGATAACTACATATAGATATATCAAAGTATTATCGCGAGAAAGAAACTGATTTCTCAAGATAATAAGATTCAAGTTTTCAGTTTCTTTCTTACAATAGGAAACATGAGGATTATTATGAAAAGCAAATTATTTAAACAAACCATGTACAGCAGTAAGATAGCAAGAATTAAATTGGTGACACTCAGTGCCACGAAAGGTCACGCAAGAAGTAAGTCAGAGAAACTATTGGCGTTGCTTTGAAGAGGTTATTACATGGATTCCGATAAATGTGTCAAACCGCTTGAAAACTCGATGCGAATGACTTTTGAAATAACGATGATTTACTTTATATACTCGTATATGTAAATTCGACCAATTTAATTTTGACGCTAGGTTAATTCGATCGACGTTGACTTCGACTTATCGATTATTGTAACGATGTCGTCGTCGTAAACGTTATACCTCTAAGAATAAAAATACAAACGTTTTCGTTTCTAGAAGCGATAACGATTTATCGAATAACGGGGAAATCGATCGTTACTTCGAAAACCATGTTCGCAGCAATACTCGGTTTGTGAATCTATTTACATCACAAAACGTTATTTTGTAATCTACCTAACCTTAATTCGATCAGAGAATAAAACAAATTTCATTAGAATACAACGTAAATTCTTTGAACTCGATTTAATGCGAAGTTAGAGATCAGAAAACGACGATCTGTGAAGTAAACACGATTCACAGTGAATCGAGATGGCTTGGCGACTGACATCGTATTTTCTAGAGGCCCGGCCGCGGCGACGTTCACTGCTTCCACGATCGCGGGCTCTTGTAATAGCGCAAATTCCAGCGCTTACCTTTCTTGATGAGCAAGCTAGTGACCCTCCGTAGCGCCTCGCGAGTACTGGAGGCGGAGCTGTGCTTACTTTGGCCGAAGTATTTGTTCGGTGTGATGTTTGTCGGCAGAGTCAATGGTTTCCTTTGGTCTCCGGAACCAGCCAAGCGTGGATCGTACGCGTTGTTTAGTCTTTCGAGATGCTCGATCGAGGCTGGCCGCGGTTGGTTCGCCTTCCTCGTAGGGTACCATCCACGATTCGGGCCACCGGCTAATCGCAACAACTCGGTTCCGATTATCGCCTGTTCCAAACCCGGGTTATTCCTGCGATACCTGTTCACATCGAATATCAATTTTTATACTTTTTATTTTATACATTTTTATCGTACTCTTGTTGTCGCTATCGTTTTTGTTTCTTTCGTTGAATCGAGTTATCGATTTTAAGTTGTGTATACAGTATACACGTGCATACGCAATCGGTCAACGATAAACAGTAATTGCTTACGCGGGAATTCGTGGCTATGTTCGCGCAAGCGCGCTCATGGCACGCGTACGAAGCGCCATTTTTCAAATTTTTAAACTGTTGTACAAGTTAGAAATACATACATTGTTTTTGACAATAACGCAGTTATATTTTAAGCTTTCTATGTTCTCCTTAGTAAATGATTCTGTTTCTTCAGATCAGAAAACAGAGAAACTGTTCTCAAGAAACAGAAAACACATACATATATATACGTATATATATAGTGATACGTAAAAGTTTTTTATTTTATGTGTCAAAAGTGACATTTTAAGGAATATTAACTACTACTATATCAGTGAAAAAAAAATGGTGAAATATTGAGAAAAACAAAAGCGGCTTAATGAGAAACGTGATAATACAGTGGAAGACAAGATGTGTAGTAATATTGAAATTTTGATAAAATCAATAACTTGATCGAAAAAGACGATTCTTACCCGGTGGTAGCCGTGGTTGGAGCGTACCAACCAGGTTGTCGACGCATCTGTGTCGAATTGCTGGCATGCTGGGGAGTTCTGGGAATGTCGCTCCCTCTAGCGAAAACAGGGGTTTCTGGAAGCGAACAAGAGGTTTGCATTCCGCTGGTACCAGTCGCTATGTTACCGGTGGTTCCACTGCTGCTGCTACAAGCTCCGTTGTTTGCCCCGTTTGCGTTAGTACTGCTACTACAGCCCCCATTTCCAACCGAGGAGCACGGTTCCGCCGATGGCGAATGTCTCTTGGTGAAGGGACGTCGTCGTGAAGGTCCAGGTAGGTCCGTAGGCAAAGTCCTTCGTTCCACGGGTATTTGCTACGAGAAATAAATCACTAGTAATAACGCATGACAACGACAACAGCAACAATGAAAAATTGATAATAATTCTTTGTTACAGCGCGTATACAAAGGTGAACGACGAGAAGAAGCAGAAACAGAGTAACAGATATAGAGTTTTTCACAACTAAGTTAATCAAATTTATGAGTAAGTATTTCGCCATTTTGTAAAGTTGTAATTACATAATCCTCAAATACTGTAATTTTTGTACTGAGAAGTCATTCATTAAATTAAAACAAGTAACGGAGACATCTACATATCTTGTTTCTCGTGACTCACCTTCTTATTGTTATTATTAGGTATCTTTTTACCTGAAACACGATAAAACACCTCGCTTAAATTTCGTAAAACGCACCTCTCGTCTGGAATTGGTGGCACTAGGTGTTGTTCTTTTACCCCGAGAAAATCCAGCATCCATGGATCTGGTATTGAGAGACGTTTGTTGATCTTTCGAATCCGAGAGGGAATGATTAGCAACAGGTCCACGATGAGGTGGTACCCTAGGTCTGTACTCCATCGTTCGATTGCTATGATTTTTTGGCTTAGAGACGATTGCGGCAGTCTGACCAATGTCTGAACTTTCTTCGTCCGCTTCCTCGACAGGCGATGGTGGTAACGGAGGAAACTCAAGAACTTCCACGCTCACCTAGAAGCAAACATATCATCAATACGATGTCATTAATTTTCTCTGCTATTAGATTTTTCTTTGCCGATGTGAACAAAATTGCAACTGAGTATTTTAAAAGTTAAAAGTTACATCATTAGTTTTATATATTGTATCATTACATTTAATTCGAATTCCTTTCCTCTCCAAACGTATCATATTAGAATATTTCCATTTATCCATCAAGCTTATCGATATCATAATCAAATTTATCATATTTCTCCTCTGTGGTCTTTGTTCATGTGTATACTTTCGCCATTGTAATGTGTGAAAATCCTGAATTTTCTCCTTCGTTCAAGTTGTACAACTTTCCACATCAATGAGGAAAAAACTCACCTGAAAATCTGGATTCTTGGAATCTTCAAGAATAGCGTCGATCACATTTTCAATCTGCTTTTGATCATTCTTATGAGTCTCAACAACTCCATTCTGTCTCAATCTTTTTCCCGACGCATAGATATCCGACCCATTAGTTCTTTTCGCCTCTATATCCGTTGTTTCAGGACTGGTTTTAGACGCTGTATCCGAATCAAAATCCGAATCATGATGCTGTTTCCTCGCTCCACTTCGATCCACAACTCCACGATCATTCGATTCGCTGTCAAGACTGCTTTTTCTTGCCAATGGTTGCTTCGCTTCTCCACTCCTTGCCCATCGTGTCTTGCTCTCCGAATAAGACTCGCTATTCTTCACATTCTCAATTTCCTTGATCGCATCACTGACCTTCTCCAATTGTCTACGATTTTCCTTCAAAGCTTTTTTCACAATCTGATCTTCAATCAGTAGGTTAACAGGGATCTTGGACGTTAATCGATGTTCGTTACTACAATTTGGAGATTTTCTTGGTTCCTCGTTAAACACATTCCCACTAGACGGTGTTAAGCCAGCGAACCCTTTCGAATAGCTGTTAGAGGCTGATAGCGAAACTCCGTTGCACGTGCTGTTCAACTCGGTAGTAGCGTTTCTCGATTCTTGATTCGACAAATCGACATCGATTCTGTCTCTCTCAGGATTGTCGGTGGACGATAACGAGGACGACAACTGGAGCAGCTCGAACATCTCCCGAGGTTTTTTATCCTTGTCTGAAAGGTCTGAACTTTCTTCCTCTTCGACAGTTACTTCCAATTCTCGCGGCCAATTGCCGGTTTCGTCGTTAATCGCTGGAAGAGAAACGACTCTGACCAGGTCGGGTGGAACCGACGGTGGAAATTCCATCGGTGGATCGTTCATAGGTTCATCCAGTTTATTTTCTCTCAGGAGACTTCTAATATTATCGAAAGTACTCGAGTATCGTTTCACGTCGGACAACCGATTCTCCTCGTTATTCTCAAACGATAAGCTTTTGGTTTTGGTCGGGACTTTTGGTAAACTTTTTCGTTCTTTCTTTCGACCACGACGTATCACGTAAGTGCCGTTCTTGGTTAGTTCTTGGGGTCGTATCTGATCAAGCTCGTTCGTCGAGGAGTCCGAGTACGGAGAGACTAGATCATCGTCAGTGGTCGATAACCGGGGATCTTGCCAGTCGTCGAAGTCGCGTAGTTTCGATGCTGATCCGACGCCTGAAATTAAAAATTTAGTTGACGAATATTTTCATTTCGAGGAGGATCGATTATATTAATATACCGTGAGTGATTATGCATCTTTATATTTTTACGATTAAAGAACGTGATTAAAGAAATGAGATATTGTATCAAATACTTTATTATATATTTTCTTATTTATTAAATATTCTAGGCATTCTATCGATTCTGACAGCCTTAAAATTCCCGAAAATGCATAAACATCCACAAACATCTATCAGATAATGATACTTGCAATTGATACTTACTTATATCACTTGCTAAAAATGAGTACATTTTTCGAAAATCAAATTAATCTAGGATATAGGGTAAAGTTGAATGGTTTACGTTAAGGTAGAAGAATTTGCTTTGCAACTAGCCAAATTCAAATATTTTTCAATGAATCTTAACGATCTGCATAATACAATAAAAGGAAAGAGAATATATCGATTTGCTACGAAGAGAAGCTATTTTAAAAATGTTTGTTTTCGTTACAGACGTAGCTGTAGTTGGTGTGCAGGAGATACGGATGAATTTTGATTGATAGCTGTTTCTCATACATGTTCGCAAATGGCTGAAAAATAGCGTAAAGTTTCGTTAGAATGAAAAATTGCTAGTCACGTTAGAAACGTCGATCACGTCGTACGTATTTGCAAACAGACTATGTTGCTTTTGCCTTTCAGTGGTTTCCATAAACAAGAAAATATATTGTGTATATTGACAACTCGCCATAACGTTCATACAACTATTTTCACGTGGAGCTGGCTCTGTGCGTGTGAGAAAAATCCGCAGCCTACTAATAGCAAATCATTCTATAGACTCTACCCTATATATCGACTAACATGATATTGGAGTTACAAGAGTCGAATTTCGTCAGCAAGAGAATAACTTACTGGACACGTCGCTGCTTTTACGTCGTCTCCTACCAATCACCTTGGTACTTCCGGGAGCATAAAGTGGATCATCCTCCAGAGGTACTTCCCAAGCAATAGAATGTCTCTTACTGATGGGCGGAGGAGGAGGCAGAAGCTCCTCCAACGAGTCGTCGGAAAATCTCTCCTCCTCAGATTGAGTCCTAAAGTCTGTGGAATTCCTCGTGGAGAAGTCCGAATTCCTCGTGGAGAACATGTCCGAGTAGCGTTCCTCCGAACACCTGTCCGAAGTTGGTGCCGAGAATCTTTCATTGGAGTCTGTTCTGGTCGGCAAAGAGAAGGAAACGAAGTCGAGATTTCGAATGGAGAAAGGATCGGACGTTGGCACGGAGACTCGATCGTTGGAACTGGCACTGGCCACGGCTATCGAAAAATCTGAGTGGAATCTTTCGTTCGAGGTGGAGTTCGCCCTGGAAAAGTCGGATGATCCGCAAGTAGCTCGCATCGAATATCTTTCGACGCTGACCGAGCTCGACCGTGGGATAGAAGATCTCTCTGATTCGGAGTTTCTCGAGAATCTGCCTTCGCTCGAGTCAGAATCGTTTCTTCTTCGGCTGTTCTGCTCGGATTGCTCGTGATTCATCAGCAGACGATCCTCCACGCTGCTCGACTTGGTGATTTCGTTACTTTGACGTTGCTTTCGTAGATGAGGCGTTCGATCCTTGTCGAAGCTCTGTCGATGATTTTTGTCCGCCTCGAGGCCATCTTCTTCCGATGATCGACGTCTAACCTCGCGGTGCTTCTCAATGGTAGTTGGATTGGTTCGTGGCGGGATCCAACCGAAAGACACCTTACCATCGTATGGTAAGCTGGCGAATTTGCTCGGCGGGCTCGGAGGTTGAGCCAATTTCAATGCTTCGCTGTTCCCGTTTTCCCAGCCATACGGTCTCTGATGTCGAGTTTTGGGCTGTGCGAAAATACAATTTACCTACAGTGGACAGCATTACTGAACCATAATAATCGTCATTTCTTATTGCTGCCATGTGAACTGCAGATAGGCTCGCTAAAATATCTCCCATATGTGATTGTGACTATGAAGAGTAGCTCGATTATATTATAGAAAGATAAAGAAAAAGGGAGGGAATAAGAACGATACCAAAGATTAGTTATAGTTGTTTAAATGTAAATATGCGACGAGTACGTATACCGTATTATACGTATAAAGCGAGTTTATTTCTTGGCCGTGTGTTTCAAATTGAACAAATCTATTGGTTCAGTTGCACGTTACACCGCCGTACGTTTACATTACGAATAAGAGCTGCTCTGTCAACCTTGACGATAAAGATGTAGTAAGAAAGGAACGATAGTCGTGAGAATACTAAAAAGCGAGCATTTTAGATTCGAAGAAGCTCGCAAGGATACTCACGAGAGTCGTTTGAGTGGTAACCGTGCTACCGTTTCCATGTCGTATGCTGTCCTCCATGGCTATCATCCACTGTTGGCGACCGCTTCGACGAGAAGAGGAGTGACCTTGGTTTCTCTTCGAAGAATTTCCAGGCGATACCCTACGATTATATGTAGCGGTTACATACTCTATCTTTTATTATCGTTATTTATTTGTTTAATTAAAATTGCTTTTCCAACGTACAGTCGTCTTTAAGTCGATGAATTCAAGTTTTACAGGTTTTCCATCGTTTCGCGAAATTTCAGATTAGAAGGTTATCCGGCAACGAGATAACTATGCGACATAAGCACCAGATATACAATACATTCTTGCATATTTATGCTTCGATGCATAAATATGCAAAGCGTATGGATTATGCAGAAAATGCAAAATAGAGAAGATAACAAATTTCTATCTAAATTTCATTTCTCTACTTGCATTTTATTACATAAAAAATATGCACTCGCACGAACAACCGTCTTGGCTCGAATAGATTATCAATTATTATCGACAGACACCTATCAGCTACCTTTAATTTAATTAATAATTTAATTTAATTTAAACAAAATCTACTAACTCAAAGATTTCGAAAAAATGTCGAAGGAAATCATTTTAACGAAATGCTTTTCGAAAATTCTTTACTGCCATAGCATATAGAATATACATAGTTTTCGTAAATATTCGCAAGAATATGAAAATTTGCAACTCGTTCGAGGCGTGGGCTCGTCCTTAATCGATAGTTTGTTAAAACAAAAAAATGATTTCGTTATCGCTTCAAGTATCGCTGCGACTGTACTTGCTCGCGATTCCACGTATTTCCACACTCACCACAGAAAACTTTTACCTCCGTAGTTATTAGCTCGTCTGGGTGGTACGTATTATACGCGTATAAAACATTTCGAAATTTCATTAACGCTATGTACTTTCAAATACTTTCGTGAGTCAAAGTTTCCAGCTTTTCTCAATTCCCTTCCATTCTTTGCTCTCTTGTTACTCACATTATTATAGTTTGTCGTTAACACTTTACTGACCGCTAGCGGTTCAACAGCATACGCACGTCCGACCGGCAACTCAGGCGCAAATTCTCCCTGGCGCCGCCTCTGTTTCGGTTTAGACTCTCCAAGACCATTCTTTTCGTTTATTGAGAACGGTCAGTTTTTCAAATTGGCATAAAACTGTGGGAGCTTACGAAGCAACGCAACTGACGCAACTGAGCGAGGTACCTTAGTACTAAATAACAAATTACTGTTCAAGTAATAAGAAAGATTATCGGCGATAAAAAGCCGATTAATAGTCTATCGGTCGGTACACGTCGGCGACAAAAAGCCGATTGATCGGCTATCGGTCGGTACGCGTCGGCGACAAAAAGCCGATTAATCGACTATCGGTCGGTAAAGTGTTAATATCGAACCATATGCGAAAAGTCCGTTTATATACAATAAGATTTAGATAAGGTTTATATACGACAAGACGAAGGGCTAAGCGTGTCGTTGAATCGATTCCTTTCAAGTGGCTCGAACGCGACGAAGCTGAGGTGAACTTACATGGGCAACAAAGTAGAAATGATTCGTTCGGCTTCTTCCGGCGGTGGCGGAAATTCTTGCGTAGATATTCCCGCGAGATCCTGTGGCTCTGGACAATCTGGAACTGGACGCAGCGCTATCAGGGCCATCTTCGCTTTTCGTCCATTCATACTCATGTAACCGTCGTCCTCGGATTGATGCCCTGTCGAAAAGAAACCAGCTATTCTTACCGTTCTTTAACCATATCTTGAACATCGTCAGAAGTGAAATTTCACATGAACCTTTTATTTTAATCCTTTTAACGTCTCGTCGATTTAATAATATCGTCGCTAGACTGCGCATTTTTAGCCATTTATGGGAGTTGTTGGGAGATTTAAGGTTCCATAAAACGTACATAATATGGGAAAATATAGAAAATATTTTAAACGAAGTATATCTGTTATAACGTTTAGTGGATGAAATAAATATTTATGTAGGTTCCATTCCTTTAGTTATGTCACTAGAGGTACGAAATTGCATAAAAATCCGCAGTCCTAGTCGTAACGATCGTCGCCAGACAATTACATCTTTCGAGACATTTCGCTAGATTATCGTCGTCGAGAGGAATTTTTAAACGAAGGGTTTTTCCTTCCGTTTCGAACGATTAGATATTCTCCCGGACCTACGGAATCCAACTATGGGGAACAGCAAGTAACTCCAACATTGAAATATTTCAACGCTTCCAATCGAAAGCGCTAAGATCCCTAATTGATGCACCTTGGTATGTTACCAACGAAACAATACATCGCGACCTCAAGATACCCACAGTCAAAGAGGAAATAGAAAATATAGCGACGGATATAGCAAAAGAGTCAAGGAACACCGAAACCCCCTAATCACTGGACTATTTGGTACGTCGGAGTAAATCCACAGGCTGAAGAGACACTTACCCGCTAGACCTAAACGCTAGATTCAATTAGTTATTTAAATTAAGTAATATTTACTTATTTATAATACTTACTTACAAGTTATACTTATCTATAATAAGTATTAACTTATTATAAATAATTAGCCTTGCCACTGCGTCACGCCAGAAAAATTACTGAAAATTCTCAATGCGAGAATTGGTTGTAAATTTTAATAAATATAAAAGATATTCTGCCGTTTTTATTACTCGTTAGAGAGGTAGAGTGACAGCACGAAAGGCATTATCCGTTAATGAATCAATTCGTGGCAAATAATACATAAGATACGCGACATAAACTTTCACAGCTTTAAACCGATTACAGCAATTAGATCGAGCATTAACCAGTCTCGTTGAAATCCCGTTTATCATACAGCATTTATAGCAGGAAAGTTTTCTAAGCGTTATAAATATCATTTATTTCTGTCTAATTTGAAATCACGTGGTTTCTCCACCAGCAGCCCTGACAAAGTAACGTTTGGTTATGCAAGCCAACAAAAAAAAAAAAAAATAGAAAAAAGGAAGAAAATGCCGTGTGCGCTTAGAAAGCGAATCTGATTAATTGCGAAACTCACTGGTATTTTTATAGCAATTTTGGTTCTACGCACGAGTCGCGTATCAATGTTCCATCGAGTCGCGTGACTTCCTTCTCGTGCAGCTCGAAAGTAGAACTATTTCAACGCAGCTGGCGTGTCGAGGCACGAGACAGACACTTTGAACATGTTCTCTAATCACCCATAGCTCGAATACTACGGTACATAGGACGTACATGTATTCGTACGACGCTTTTTACTTATTTTAACGAAAACGAAAAAAGAACAAAAGGGGAAAAAAGAGAAAAACATTGCGACCTACGCTTTTCGTTTAAAAATATACCGGAAATCATTTCTAACCGTTGCGATAATTAAAGAACGTAACTGACGAAACCCGTGGCGAACCACCGGAAATAATAAAAAGTGTCTCGAAACGTAATATGATAGTATACGGGACAGGGAAGGGAGCGGGAAAGACAAGAAGCTTTCGAAATTTGCTAAAAACGAAGATAAACGAGCATGTAATCGATACGATCGAGATAACGAAAATCGAAAGAACGAAAGAGGAGAAGGAAGGAATAAAATAGGAAAGAAATGGGGG